CTATGATTTTTATATTCGAACTCGAACATTGCGTTGAGCAGGCATACTTTAATTTAAATCAAAATACGGACGCCGTTAGTAATAAGATTAAACATTTTGTCGATTATTTACGTCACAATTGTATTGTGAATAAAGACGATGCGATAAATATTTTGCGTAAGGTGTATGATAAAACATCGCTTATTGAATGTGAACTCATAGCTTACGCGTCAGATCATATTGTGCACGATGCGTTCCATAATTATGTATTAAATATATACATTATGTGTTAAATGTATTATTCATGTGTTAAATATATATATATTGTTTGTTAAATATACATAATGTGTTAAATTTTTTTTCGTTCCTTATCTCTTCGTCGAATTACATCGCGCGCGAAAATCATGGGTGGGACGGAGATACCGCGTGAGGGAGAGAGAAAGAAAATTGCAACTGGGCCGCGCTGGAATCCCCTTTCGCGACCCCGCGTCTAGTTATACCTATGTGTTATCATTTACCGTTGTATGGAGATGTAACAATGTTAATATGTTGTGGTAAGTATCTATATGCTTTGTCCTTACAACATTATCGCGACATGGAGATGTAGTGGTAAGTATAACATGTACCTAGATACTTGCACATTGAGATGTGGAAGTAATTTCAACATGTGTCTGAATGCTAGCGCATTTGATTTTTATGTTACTCGGGTACGAACATCTCTAACTGCATTTTGAGTTTTAGTGTCAGTCTATCATGTATGAAGTTGCGGATCAAGAGTATATACCGCCGCTGGCAAAACTAATAAGAGCTCGCGAAATTGGACACGACACTTTTTTACGTTACGATCGCAACAAAATTGGATACGATTTATTATGCTTTGCACACATGACGCATAAATGGGATTGTCTGTTTTGCACGAGAATTTCGGAGTGTATCATGTTGGATAGCGACGAGATGGACGACGCATGGGTGGAAAGCATGCGCCGGAAGGACGAGACCGCGAGGCGTAGAAGATTGCTGGTAAGTACAAAAGCAATTACTCTCGAATATAGACGATGATTTTTATCTAGGATAAAAACGATGTTTTGTTTCTTTCAGA